TATATAGGCTGTTTCCAAGATTTAGCTGTTATGAATTGTGGCGCTATAAACATAGATATGCAAGCATCACTGTAAAATGATGTCTCTAACTTTGGAGGGAAGATACCTAGAAGGGAAATAGCTGGGTCGAATGTAATCTCTATTTTTGGGCTTTTGAGGACTCTCCATGCTGATTTCCATAGTGGCTACACCAGTTTACACTCCCACCAATGAAGGAGGGTTCCTTCCCAACACAGAGCCTCTCCTGAATTTGGTATTGTTTCAGTTCTTGAAGATGGCCATTCTTTCTCAGTGTTGTTTTAATTTGCAGTTTTTGGTGGGGTTTTTTTGGTTTGTTTGTTTGTTTTGTTTTTTTGGTTTTTGGAGACAGGGTCTCACTATGTAGCTGAGACTGACCTGGAACTCACTATGTAGCCCAGGCTGGTCCCGAACTCACAGCGATCCTCCTGCCTCACCTCCCAAGTGCTGGGATTACAGGCGTGCGAAAGGCCAGCAGTGTGGGGTATCTCTTCATGTACTTATTGGTCATTTGTACTTCATCATTTCAAGTGCCCAATTTTTATTGGGTCTTTAAATTTGGGGGGGTCGGTTGCTCTCTTTTTTCCCATCCTGCTGTGACCTCTCATGGCAGGAGGGTGGGCAGACTGAGAGGAGAGGAGCAGAGAAAGAGAAGATGTATGTATGGGTGCATATATACATATATACACATACGTACGTGTATATGTGAGGACGGCAGTGGGGATCGAACCCAGGGCCTTTGCTCTGAGCTACATCCTTACCTGTTTTTTTTTTTTTTTTTTTGGTATGTGGGATTGAACTTGGGTCCTTGTACTTGGAAGGCAGGAGGCAGAACCACTGAGCTCAATCCCTGGCCCCTACCCATTTTATTTTTTGAGACAGGATCTTGATAAGTTGTCCAGGCTGGGCTCGAACTTGCAATCTTCCTTTGATCCCAGAGAGCTGGGATTACAGTGTGCGCCACCAGGTGATATCTGTACCATCTGTATCTAAAGCTGCATCACCTACATTGTAAGACAAGATTCAGGAGTCCAGAGCAGTTCCGTAGAGGTTCGAGGCCCCCGTGGACCCTGCATTGTCCCCCAAAACACGGTCTTGCTGCCCATAGCCACCCCTGCCTCCTGCTGATGTGTGCAGTGCATGCACCGCCGTGCGGCCTGAGACCAGCAGTGCACAGGTGTGTGCACAGAGCGGGTGAATGAGCTCCTGGGAAAGAGGCAACCAACAGTGACTTGGCTGGCTCCCCTGCAGGCCTCAGGCAAACTGCACTTGTGGGGAGTGGGACAGGCGTGGAGCTGGACTTGGAGGAGGAAAAGGGGGTCCAGAAGCGAGAGCGGCTCCGTGGCTCCTCCTGCCTGCCTCTGCAGCACCCCGAGGGTGGCAGCCAGACAGGAGGGCCTGAGGCCAGCACTGGGTGCCACTGCCCCACGTCTGGGTCGCTGGCCTGGCGGTGGAACAAGCAAGAGTCCTGAGGCCAAGCCCTGCCGGTGGTCAGAGGTCCTGGAAAAGCTGAGCAGAAAAGAAGCCCCAGGCCCTCTGATGCCTGGAAGGATTTTCCAAGGGAAGCAGAGCCAGGCCACAGCACAGCTCAGTCCTCAAGGCATGGCAGGGGGCACTGGCGTTCCCCTTCCAAGGAAGCGGCTGCAGGTGCCCGCAGGCACGTGAGTGCCGGCTAATTGTGTGCATGGGCGGGGGCGAGCTGACCTGGGTTGGCGGGGTCCCTGTGTCCTGGCTCTGCCATTTCCGCTGTGGCTGTGGGAACCTTGCGGGTCTCTGTCCCTCTGGCGTCCTGGTCGTGGGAAGGGAGTGGGCCCCCGCAGGCTGCTTATCAGGTCATCTCCAGACACCGGCCGGGTCTGGCTTTCCTCACTCGGGCTCCCAGGGTGCCCGGCTGCGTCACCTCCGGGGCAAGGTCAGGGATGTGGAGCCAGGGGGCACAGGGGAGAGGGCTCTGTTCTTCGGCCTTTGCCCGTGGGTGGAACGGGACGTGAGAACGGTCAGCGGAAGCATAAATCCAGCTGGGCCAGGCCCTCGCGCCTGCGGCAGTGGGCAGAGTGGGGGTGGGGGCTTTTAGGGGCAGGGAGTCTCTGGGGGGACAGATGACCCCAAGGAGAATGCGGGGCTGAGACCGAGGTGGGGGTCGCGGAGGGGCAGGAAGAGGAGGTAGCCTGGAGTCGTCTCTGCGGCTTTGAAGCCCATCAGCATTTTGCGGGAAGCCCTTCCATGGCCTAGCCAGGAAGGGGCAGAGCAAGAAGCTGGGCTCCGAGCCTTGTGTTGGAGAGCTAGATGGCTTTCTTTCGCCCGGCTTCTGTTTGTGAAGAGGGAAACGGGAGCCAGGCCTGGCAGGCAGGTCTGCAAGTGAAGCCCTCCGGGAGGGCGAGGCCGGAGCATTGCAAGTTGAAGCCCAGCTGAGCGACTTAGCAAGGTCTTGACTCAAAAAAAAAAAAAAAAAAAAGTAAAAAGGGCTGGGGATGTAGCTCAGTGCAAAGGGCCTGTGTTCAAACTCCAGGACCAGGGAGGAAGGAAAAGAGAGAGAGGGAGGGAGGGAGAGAGAGAGAAGGAGGAGAAGAAGAGAAAGAAGGGAAGAAGAGGAAGAAGGAGAGGAAGCAAGAGGAGAAAATGGGGAAACGGTGGGCTCTCCGGCCTGGCCCTCTCCACAACTCTGTTCCCCATCCCCAGGGCCCCAGCTGGCTCCTGGGAGGAATTTTCCAATGAGATGGAGCACATCGCTCAGCTCAGCCAGATGAGCAGAGGAGCAGCTGGGGCCTTGAGGGGAGAGGAGGCTCCGAGCATGCAGGGCTGGCTCGCGTGGGTGGACAGACGGGAGGAGGAAGAATTACTCAGGGTTCTGGGGAAGGGGCTGGGCTGTGACAGTGGAACCTTGGGGCCGCACAGGGGGTGGGGGACAGAGCCCTGTGTCCTTAGTGTGCTCACCGCTGGGGTTGGCGGCCCCCACCTGAGCCCATGG